ACTTGCAGCTCGAAGATGATTGGCAAAGCTAAGAGAGTTGGTGGTCTTTATATACTTGATGCAATTAATGTAGTAAGCAATGGCATGACTGATGAATGTAGTTTTTCTGAAGGTGTCTGTAATCCTGTTTTTTCTGTTATGAATAATGTGCCTCAACATGTTTGGCACAATCGTCTTGGTCATCTATCTTTTCGAAGACTGAAAGTTTTGAGAGATCAACTTCATTTTAAGAAAGATAAATGTAGTTCAATATGTTACATTTGTCCATTGGCTAAGCAGCGACGATTATCTTTTATATCAAACAATCATCTGTCTTCGAATCCCTTTGATCTTATTCACTGTGATACTTGGGGTCCATATAGCTCCCCAACACGTGATGGTTACAGATTTTTTCTTACCCTAGTTGATGATTGCACGAGGTTTACATGGGTTTATCTAATGAGGAACAAATCTGATGTTCATACTATCGTTCCAAAGTTTTTTAGCCTTATTGAGACACAATTCAACAAAGTCATTAAGGTTTTCAAGTCTGACAATGCTCCTGAGTTGCATTTCAAATAATTTTTTGAGTCAAAGGGTGTGCTTCACCAGTTTTCTTGTGTTGGTTGTCCTGAGCAAAATTCAGTTGTTGAACGAAAACATCAGCATCTTTTTAATGTAGCTAGAGCATTGTTTTTTCAAGCACATGTCCCTATATCTTTTTGGGGTGATTGCATTCTTACCGCTACTTTCTTAATCAATCGTATTCCTTCTCCAATTTTGCAAAACAAAACTCCGTTCACTTTGCTTTACAATTCCCCTGTCGATTATAAATTTCTTAGGGTATTTGGGACTCTTTGTTTCGCCTCAACTCTTGCTTCTCATCGCCTAAAATTTCACCCACGGGCTAAGGCCTGTGTCTTCATTGGATATCACCCTGGCATTAAAGGGTATCATTTGTATGATATAGTGTCTAAATCCATTTTCATTTCTCGAGATGTCATCTTCCATGAAGATATTTTCCC